CGTAATATTAATTGTGTCGTTAGCTTGTGTGGTGTAGGAGGATACAAACAGTGGCCAGAAGTTTTCTCTGGGTTGGGCGTGGCCGCCGCGAGCCTCTCTTACGTGTCTCTGCTTGTGACGTCCGAGTCGTGCTGCTCTTGCGCTCTCTCTCTCTACTGCTAGATGACGAGTTGGCACGACGCTCGGTGACGCCCGGTGACGTCCGAGTCGTGTTGCTCTTGCGCTCTCTCTCTCTCTCCACTGCTGGATGACGAGTTGGCACGACGCTCGGTGACGCCCGGTGACGTCCGAGTCGTGTTGCTCTTGCGCTCTCTCTCTCTCCACTGCTGGATGACGAGTTGGCACGACGCTCGGTGACGCCCGGTGACGTCCGAGTTGTGCTGCTCTTGCGCTCTTTCTCTCTCCACTGCTGGATGACGAGTTGGCACGACGCTCGGTGACGCCCGGTGACGTCTTGTCTGTTTACACTGGTCTTTGGTAGGTGTGCCCTCAAACACACGGCGCATTCGATGGTGCTGTCCTCTTCCTCACAGCCGTTTGACCAGGCTTTCTCCACTGCTTCGCGCTCTCTGCTTTGCACACTTGGTCGACGCTTGGCGATCTCCGCCCTTTTACAGGTTGACTAGCTGTACTACCCGGCTTCGCCCGGGACTTGTATCCACCACGACCGGCCGCCTTTGTCTCCCCAGTGGCGATGTTAATACGCCACACCAGTTACTCGTTTTGAGGCAGAGTCCCTCCCTCACCATTCTCCCTCCCTCACCACTCACGCCCGGCCGCCTTTGTCTCCCCAGTGGCAATGTTAATACGCCACACCAGTTAATCGTTTGAGGCTGAGTCGACCTAGGGGAGGTTCAAATAATCGTCACCGGTGGTGGCCGTGAGCGGGAATCGAACTCGGTTCGCCGGGTTTGTAGCGCAGCGTAGCGTTAACCACTACACCCACCGCTCCTCACACACCACACACGCACAGACACAACAACAACAACCGCCATTCGCCACTAAGTGGCGGTGACGTCACCACGATGCTTGTGCCAGGCCAAGTGCACCTTGAGGCCACGTGAAGTGTCGAAAGCCCGCTGGCAGGAGGTCACGGGGCAGACCCAGGTGCCACTGGTCGACTGACCGAGATGACCGAGATGACTGGCTGATGCACCACCTGTGCCCCCTACTGTGCCAACTTGCTGTGCTTTAGCCACCCGGCGCTCCGCTCGTTGTTGTGAGCGTCGCTCCTCCGCCCTCCGTTGTTGTTGGAGGGCGACTGCCTCCAACTGCCCAGTAGCGTCCTTCACGAGCCTCCTCCACTGAGGCCGATCTTGACACCGCTGGTACCAGTCATCGGCAAGTCCACTCAGCTCCACGTCCTCCTGTACCACATCACTCCATCTCTTCTCCAGCCCGTGCCGCGCCCGTCTAGCCCCCTCGATCCGGCCGAACAAAAGCTGTTTAGGCATGCGGTGGCTGGGCATGCGGGCTACATGACCCAGCCAACGCAGCCTTGCCTGCCGGAGGAGCTCACTGATGGGACTTTGCCCAGATCTTTCAAGGATTTGTGAGCTCCTCACACAATCCAGCCTGGTTAAACCCAGGATGGATCGTAGGCAGGCCAGCCTAAATGTTTCCAACCGGCGAAGATGCTCCACCAGGGGGGTCCACGTCTCGCAAGCGTAGAGAAGGGAGGGAATGACCGTGGCCGAGAAGACCTGAAGCTTCGTGCGGAGCGACAGACCAGGTAGCTTCCACACAGCGTTACGCAACCGATGAAAAGATATTGCCGCTCGACTGATTCGGAGTGAGACCTCTGCTGATAGACTGGAGCCGGTCATAAGCATACTGCCCAGGTATGGGAAACTCTCCACTCTCTCCACAACTGCCCCATCACCAATTGGGAGTTGTGGGGGTGGAGTGTCCGATGGTACAAAATACCCAGGCAGGTGCTTGGTTTTGGTGGGGCTGATGGTAAGGCCCCACCTCTTAGTGGCACGCTCCAGTCTCAGCAACAGCGCCTCCAACTCCTCTTCTGAATGAGCAGCTATTACCAAATCATCGGCATACATAACGTGGTTGACCAATAGGGAGCCATCCCTTGATCGCACCCGGGCGTCGATCAGCCTCCCATTATATCTGTACCAAACGCACAGACACACACACAGACACACACACAGACACACGCAGACACACACAGACAGACACACACACACACAGACAGCACGCTAACCACTACACTACCGCTCCCCACACACCACACACGCACACACACACACACAGACACACACACAGACACACACACACAGACACACACACACAGACAGCACGCTAACCACTACACTACCGTTCCCCCTACACAACACACGCGCGTGCGTCCATAGGTACACATACACGCGCTTGCTGCAGACACACACGACTGTGAGGGTGCGTACGACAGTAAACGACTGAAATATTAAAGCGGAAATGCTGCGCGAGGAACGCCTTAGAGCTGCAACACATTTGTGTAATGCGAGCGTAATCACACAAACACATACAAAGACATACACACACATACATGCACACACATACACACAAACACATACACACACACACAGAAAAACATACACACACATAGATACAAACACACATACATACACACAAACACATACACACACGTACATACACACATACATACAGACACGCAGACATACACATAAACACATAAAAAAACGGACATACATACACACACACATAAACACACACACATACATACACACATACATAGAGACACACAGACATACACATAAACACATACACACATAGACATGACCCGGCTTCGGCCGGGACTTGGATCCACCACGCCCGGCCGCCTTTGTCTCCCCAGTGGCGATGTGAAAACGCCACACCTGTTACTCGTTATGAGGCTGAGTCCCTCCCTCGCCACTCTCCCTCCCTCGCCACTCTCCCTCCCTCACGACTCTGTAGAAGATGTGAAACTTTTATGAATTTACCTTAGATTCGCGTGGTGGGTGTCGAGGCCTAGCACCGTGCAGAGCCTCCCGCCTCGCCTAATTTTCCCACCCGGCTGACGCTGGGTACGGGTGCCGGTCCCCCCCCCCCCCCCACCCCTAGCGCTCGAACAATACTGAGTAATGGCTGTTATTTAATTAATTACGGAGCCTATGAAAGTGGCGAAGGCGTGGCTAGCCGTTGGCAGGGGCAACCGCCGTCCAATGAAACTGCAGCCCTTGGCGAAAGCGTCGCTAGCCGTTGCCAGGTCCAATGAAAGCGGCGAAGGCGTCGCTAGCCGTTGGCAGGGGCAACCGGCGTCCAATGAAAGTGCGTATGGTCCGGAGACACACAGACACACAGACAGATTCACGATTTTATATATATAGATTGCTTGTCGTCACTCGTCACTCTCTCTGCTCCGTGCTTCCCTTGTTCGTGCAGCTGCCAGCTTCACTCGCACTTAACTTCGTTCTGCGAGAAGCGACACCGGATATCGGCATCGGTGTTTCGTGTCCTCACGACGCTCCGCCAGCCGGAGCACGGCTGAAACCCAGCCCCGACCCAGGTTGAACTCAGACTTCTGCGACTCGAACGACTCCTCCTCGTTCCATCACTTCTCGAGGCACAACCGCCCCAGCTCTCTTGCGAGCCCCCGTCGCAACGCTGCGTCGCAAGCCGAGTTGCGAGACTGAGCGTGACTTGGACAGATTGCTCTCAGGCGGTCACTCTCTGACCCCTCGTCGTCCCATCTCTCCTCGAGGCACGATCTGCCCCAACTCTCTTGCGAGCCCCGTCGCAACGCCGCGTCACACGCCGAGTTGCGAGACTGAGCACGACTCAACCCAGACTGCTTGTTCGCTGTGTCTGTGCCTAACTCAAAACGTGACTCCCTTCTCTCTGCATTCCTTGCGAGCGGGCAACAAAAAAAAAACACAAACAAAGCGAGAAGAAGCAGACACCCCCGCGATCCCTCCTCGCGACCTTTCCTAACCCTCCAAGCATTCATGGACCATCTGTTTGTGCTGCGGGGAGACAAAGGTGGCCGTGCTTAACTCAAACACGCGAGCACCCTCTCCTCTCTCCGCGTCTCTTGCGAGAGAAAACAAACAATGTCAGCACAAACCCCCCCCCCCCCCGTGACCTTTTTGCTCCCTCCTTGCTTGTCAGACCCCGCTGGAAGACAAAGGTGGCTGAGGAGATGTTTGCAATACATTTATGTGGTCCTGTGTGTTACATTTATTCTTGAATTATATTTTATGAGTTCCTTCGGTCTCAGTATCGGGGTTATCATTCGTCTATGTTTAATGAATATTCTTAATGATCCTCGTCACATTATTATTTTGGGGCTTCGCCAAGTTTAGTTCTCCAGAGATTGGTGTTTTATTCTGAGTTATATTTTAATGTCCTGAGGTTAAGCGTAACTATGTTTCCACTTAAGCTTTCTGGAATTCGTACTTTTTAGTTTTTAGGAATGTCGTGTAGGTAGGAAACATATACTAATAATAAAACAATTATTGTTTGTTGGTTAATTATCTTTGTTAAGTTTCTACTTTTCGGTAAGGAAAACGTTAAGAAAACGCGAGTTGCAACCGTTATTTACTCTGCACCTTATCTGTACATCTCCAGATGTCTTGGGAGGCTAGTCCATACATCTTGTGTCCATCTGGATGTCTATGACCTTTCTGTGACCGAATTCTCAACATTTTAACCGCCCTCCATGTTTCATGGATTCCTGGTGTGCTTGTGAGGAGAAGTGAGTTGTTTTCATTGTTTAATAAAAAAAAAGATATATAGATAAAATAAAATATAATAAAAAAAACTGTTTTTTTTTTTTAATTGTTCTTAATAAAAAAAAGGGTATAGACACAACAGCGGACCGCCAACAAAAAGCACAACCCGCGGCAACCTCCCCACAAACCGCCAACACGAAGCGCAACTGCGGCATGGGCAAGAACCCCATCAGGGACCGCATAACCGTGACGCCCCCCCCACCCCCCACGAGAGCCGATAACACAGGCCAAACAATATACACAACCCCCCCGAATCTCACCTTACAAGGGAGAGTCGGCCTTTACCAGAACATAGCTCACGTGAGCCGGTCCTCGACACTGGTCACCCCCGCCTTGGCAGGGTTTTGCATTCCTTGGGATTCCGAGGAATGGGAACAAAAAAACAATGGCCTAAGGGCACGGCCCGTCCCTGAAATCCGCAGTAGCATAAAAATCAGATCCAGCCCCTGACACTTTGCACACGGCAGTCACGGAAAGCAACATGGAGCTTGGGAAGATGTTGCCGGCAGGTTGGAGTGCTACGGTGGCGCTGCCGGCACCCTGCTGACACCCCGGCCAAGCCTCCACTTTGGGCCAATGCTGGCGGGCCTCGTGGCCCTGAATTTCCCAGGCCACCTTCAAGGACGTGATCCCCCAAGCCTTCCGATCCCCGACTCCCGCGCCAGCAGCCTTTCCACCGCCAAGGAGTCGATCGCCATCTCACCCGTCTGGGGGTACGCTGTCTGCCCCAGCACCAGCAGCGCCTCCAGGAAAGTGAAGGGTGTCTCGGCTTCCCCTCGCTTCCACTGGAGAAATCTCGTGCGGGCATCGCACGAGAAGCCAAAAATATCCCCTTGCAGCGCCATTAACTCTGCCGCCCCTCCAGCGCTGTCCCGCGCTTTTCGCAAAATAGCTCCCGCCAGCCATGCCAAGCCCTCCACGGGCAAAATGGCACCCACCACATGCGCGGTCTCCGGCCCAGGCTCCTCTGCTCTCTCACAGAGACGAGGATCGCTGTCAGGGTCCCTTCGTGACTCCTTTACACGCCGCTGGCTGTGGAGCGACTCCCACACTTCCCCGCGCTCCCCTCAACACGGTGGTCCTCGGCCATGCCGCGTGCTCAGCGCATGACCGCAAAGGATCGGGCTCCTCTCTCGCCAATTTTACGCCACTCTCCCGCCGATCCGCAGCCGCTCTCTCTCCGCCAATGGGCTTCATAACCAGTTCCCGTGGCTGCCGGAGAGATTAATGTTTCGCCATTCCCATCCTCCGATGACACTATAGGTGTATTTTCTTCACCCCACTCCTAACACCAGTTGTAGTGTCATCATTGCGGGAGACAAGGTTTCTAAGGGGGCACCTTTATTAATACCTTCACAGGTTTGCCATCGCACTCCCTCGTCGTCAAACCTAGCATAAACACAACCCTGACCGTGTAACACCAATGGCGCTGACCGAGACAGCCAACAACTATCCAGCGAAGCCGGCATTGACAAAGGCAGCGAAGATGACAGCCACAAGGAGATGAGCCCACTCCCAAAACTGACAGCCCTGAGCTCATACTCTCAGCTGCTTTTATGCTACCCAGTGTGGCCTGGCTCCGCCCTGGCCGCGCCTCCCTTCTCGAACCCACTAGCAGGTTCCAGGAGCTTCCAGATGGGGTCTTCCGTGACCCTTGCCCCAGTTCTTCTTCCCTGCCGACACACCGGTGTATATGCTCACTGGCGTGTGTACTATTTGTCGACCGCAGTTGCCGTTGCTGGACAACAATCGGCGTTATAACACTACACTAGTACAGCACACCGGTGTGTTGGAGAACAAATTGCGTAGTGGCGGGTTTCACTAAACATTTAAATTAATGCGATCTAATTATGGGGAATTAAGCTCCACATTAATGCAAATATTATCATAATATAGTGAATGCTTGGGTGCTTATTGGCTCTTACTCCTGGTTAGAGATCTACCCAACCCATATGTCCACAAATACTGGCTGCTATTACTCTGCAGGTTGAACCTAGGAATTGAGTGTGCAACTTCACGTTATTTTAATTAAAGGCATGAGACAAAGGTGAATCTATTGGAGCTTCATTGTCTCAAGCTTACACATCTACCGGGTCTCCATTTGACTTTGTATTGTCTAAGAAGTCCACCCACACCTCCACTTCCACAAACTCCTGGGAGTTGCCTCGCTCTGCCTCACAGTCAGAATTCTCCTCCTGCTTCACGTTGCCTCCATCGATGTGAAGGTCCGATTTTGGAGTTGAATCTTCATATTCACATTTTACCATCGCTTCTTCGCTCTTCACCATCACTTCTTCACATTTCACCTCGTCAAAATCCACCTTGATACATTTCATTGCATCCAAGCTGGAATTAAATTCAGGTTCTTTTTTCAGCAGGAATGAGCTCATTGCAGCACTTGGACTTGCACAAGCCGATTTCAGACTCCGCTCCTTGGGGATCGTCTGATGCCTGTGTGTTCTGTGGTGTCTTTGAAGATGTGATGACCATGCAAATGCCTTCCCACACACAGTGCACTTAAAGGGTTTCTCCCCTGTGTGCATTCTCTGGTGTCTTTTAAGATTTGATGACTCTGTAAATGCCTTCTCACACATAGTGCACTTGAAGGGTTTCTCTCCGGTGTGTATTTTCTGGAGGTCGTGAAGATTTGATAATGTTGCAAATGCGCTTCCACACACAGTACACATGAAGGGGTTCTCCCCTGTATGCGTTCTCTGGTGTGTTTTTAGATGTGATGACTCTGTAACTGCCTTCTCACACACAGTGCATTTGAAGGGTTTCTCCCCTGTGTGTGTTCCCTGGTGGCTCTGAAGATTTGATGACTGTGCAAATGCCTTCTCACACATAGTGCACTTGAAGGGTTTCTCTCCTGTGTGCGTTCTCTGGTGACTCTGAAGATTTGATGACTTTGCAAATGCCTTCTCACACATAGTGCACTTGAAGGGGTTCTCTCCTGTGTGCGTTCTCTGGTGTTTTTTAAGATGCGATGATCGTGTATATGCCTTCTCACACACAGTGCACTTGAAGGGTTTCTCTCCTGTGTGTGTTCTCTGGTGGTCGTGAAGAGTTGATGACTCTGTAAATGCCTTCTCACACATAGTGCACTTGAAGGGTTTCTCTCCTGTGTGCGTTCTCTGGTGACTCTGAAGATGTGATGACTTTGCAAATGCCTTCTCACACACAGTGCACTTGAATGGTTTCTCTCCAGTGTGTGTTCTCTGGTGTTTTTTAAGATATGATGACTCTGTAAATGCCTTCTCACACATAGTGCACTTGAAGGGTTTCTCTCCTGTGTGCGTTCTCTGGTGACTCTGAAGATTTGATGACTTTGCAAATGCCTTTTCACACATAGTGCACTTGAAGGGTTTCTCTCCTGTGTGCGTTCTCTGGTGTTTTTTAAGATGCGATGATCGTGCAAATGCCTTCTCACACACAGTGCACTTGAAGGGTTTCTCTCCTGTGTGCGTTCTCTGGTGATAGTGAAGAGTTGATGACTCTGTAAATGCCTTCTCACACGTAGTGCACTTGAAGGGTTTCTCTCCTGTGTGCGTTCTCTGGTGGTAGTGAAGAGTTGATGACTCTGTAAATGCCTTCTCACACATAGTGCACTTGAAGGGTTTCTCTCCGGTGTGTATTCTCTGGTGTCTTTGAAGATTTGATGACTTTGCAAATGCCTTCTCACACATAGTGCACTTGAAGGGTTTCTCTCCTGTGTGTGTTCTCTGGTGGTCGTGAAGAGTTGATGACTCTGTAAATGCCTTCTCACACATAGTGCACCTGAAGGGTTTCTGTCCTGTGTGTGTTCTTTCGTGGTCGTGAAGATGTGATGACCGTGCAAATACCTTCCCACACACACTGCACTTGAAGGGTTTATCTCCTGTGTGTGTTCTCTGGTGTTTTTTAAGATGTGATGACTCTGTAAATGCCTTCTCACACATAGTGCACTTGAAGGGTTTCTCTCCTGTGTGCGTTCTCTGGTGACTCTGAAGATGTGATGACTTTGCAAATGCCTTCTCACACACAGTGCACTTGAATGGTTTCTCTCCAGTGTGTGTTCTCTGATGTTTTTTAAGATGTGATGACTCTGTAAATGCCTTCTCACACATAGTGCACTTGAAGGGTTTCTCTCCTGTGTGCGTTCTCTGGTGACTCTGAAGATTTGATGACTTTGCAAATGCCTTTTCACACATAGTGCACTTGAAGGGTTTCTCTTCTGTGTGCGTTCTCTGGTGTTTTTTAAGATGCGATGATCGTGCAAATGCCTTCTCACACACAGTGCACTTGAAGGGTTTCTCTCCTGTGTGCGTTCTCTGGTGGTAGTGAAGAGTTGATGACTCTGTAAATGCCTTCTCACACGTAGTGCACTTGAAGGGTTTCTCTCCGGTGTGTATTCTCTGGTGACTTTGAAGATTTGATGACTTTGCAAATGCCTTATCACACATAGTGCACTTGAAGGGTTTCTCTCCTGTGTGTGTTCTCTGGTGGTCGTGAAGAGTTGATGACTCTGTAAATGCCTTCTCACACATAGTGCACTTGAAGGGTTTCTCTCCTGTGTGTGTTCTTTCGTGGTCGTGAAGATGTGATAACCGTGCAAATACCTTCCCACACACACTGCACTTGAAGGGTTTATCTCCTGTGTGTATTCTCTGATGGGTCTGAAGATTTGAAAACGTTGCAAATGCCTTCTCACACACAGTGCACTTGAAGGGTTTATCTTCTGTGTGTGTTCTCTGGTGGTGCTTAACATTTGATAACGTTGCAAATGCCTTCTCACACACACTGCACTTGAAGGGTTTCTCTCCTGTGTGCATTCTCTGGTGTGTTTTCAGATGTGATAACGTTGAAAATGCCTTCTCACACACAGTGCACTTAACGGGGTTCTCTCCTGTGTGTGTTCTCTGGTGTTTCTTAAGATCTTTTGACTTTGCAAATGCCTTTTCACACACAAAGCACTTGAAGGGTTTCTCTCCCGTGTGTGTTATTTGGTGTGTTTGAAGATATGATGACTTTGCAAATGCTTTATCGCACAAAAGGCACCTGAAGGGTTTCTCTCCCCTGTGTGTTTTCTGGTGTCGTTTCAGAGGAGATGAACCTGAAAATACCTTTACACACAAACTGCACTTGAAAGGTTTCTCTTCCGTGTGTGTTCTCTGGTGGATCTGAAGAGTTGATGACTGTGCATATGCCTTGTTACACACAGTGCACTTGAATGGTTTCTCTCCTGTGTGAGTTATCTGGTGCTGTGTCAAACTTCCAGTACGATCCGTGCTGTCTGCATACTGGTCGCATTGTTTCCTTCTTGTACCGAGCTGCGCCGAGTCCCTTTGCTCCATCAGACCAATTCTGCAGAGGAAGAGTCAGAGGAAGCGTCAGCTGCAGACAGAAAAACATATCCACACCATCTACGTCAATATCAAGGCACAGAGTAATGCATATACACAGTCACACATGACATACACATCTATACTTATTCATATTTTCATGATATAGTGAAAATAATTCGCCAATTCATCACGCGGGCTGTTAAGGCACACAATGAGAGGGCCAATGGTCATAAATATGCCTGGATGCTCTAGTATCTTCAAAATGAATGTTTACCCAAAACTCCACGCACACAATTTCGGCTGTCTAGCTATGAAAGGAATATTTAAGAAAAATCCAGCTATAATAACAAAGTGTGTTGAAAATAATACTATTTGTATTATGCAGAAATTCATAAATTAATGTTCAGATGTGCTTAAATGCTCGGATGAATAGATCTAACTTCAGCTGCATACAGTGAGAGAGAAAAGTATTTGATCCCCTGCTGATTTTGTACGTTTGCCCACTGACAAAGAAATGAGCAGTCTATAATTTTAATGGTAGGTTTATTTGAACTCTGAAAGACAGAATAACAAAATCCAGAAAAATGTATGTAAATTTTTTTATAAATTGATTTGCATTCTAATGAGGGAAATAAGTATTTGACCCCTCTGCAAAACATGGCTTAGAACTTGGTGGCAAAACCCTTGTTGAAAATCACAGAGGTTAGACGTTTCTTGTAGTTAGCTACCAGGTTTGCACACATCTCAGGAGGGATTTTGTCCCACTCCTCTTTGCAGATCTTCTCTAAGTCATTAAGGTTTCGAGGCTGACGTTTGGCAACTCGAACCTTCAGCTCCCTCCACAGATTTTCTAAGGGATTAAGGTCTGGAGACTGGCTAGGCCACTCCAGGACCTTAATATGCTTCTTCTTGAGCCACTCTTTTGTTGCCTTGGCTGTGTGTTTTGGGTCATTGTCATGCTGGAATACCCATCCACGACCCATTTTCAATGCCCTGGCTGAGGGAAGGAGGTTCTCACCCTAGATTTGACGGTACATGCGGTGAAGTTGTCTTGTCCCTTGAGCAGAAAAACACCCCCAAAGCATAATGTTTCCACCTCCATGTTTGACCGTGGGGATGGTGTTCTTAGGGTCATAGGCAGCATTCCTCCTCCTGAGTTGATGCCAAAGAGCTCCATTTTGGTCTCATCTGACCACAACACTTTCACCCAGTTGTCCTCTGAATCATTCAGATGTTCATTGGCAAACTTCAGACGGGCATGTATATGTGCTTTCCTGAGCAGGGGGACCTTGCAGGCGCTGCAGGATTTCAGTCCTTCACGGCGTAGTGTGTTACCAACTGTTTTCTTGGTGATTATGGTCCCAGCTGCCTTGAGATCATTGACAAGATCCTCCCGTGGAGTTCTGGGCTGATTCATCACCGTTCTCATGATGATTGCAACTCCACGAGGTGAGATCTTGCATGGAGCCCCAGGCTGAGGGAGATTGACAGTTATTTTGTGTTTCTTCCATTTGCGAATAATCGCACCAACTGGTGTCACCTTGATAATTGGTTGTTTACCCTTCTATCTGGCAACAAAACGGACACCTTTTTACAAGGAGTCATGTTTGCATAGACCGCAATACCTGCAGTCATAATACAAACAAAAATCATAACTCTGATAATGTGCACTGTCCTTGAAGTTGATTGGTCCACACTGGAGACAGCTTTCCTTAGAGCCTAGTCTCACATGGGTTGGACCAGAAGACGCCAAAAGGCGCACAACTCAAAGACAATGCACCATCAGAGTATGAGAGGTCGGGGCAAGTCTTTTGTTTGTATTATGACTGCAGGTATTGCGGTCTATGCAAACATGACTCCTTGTAAAAAGGTGTCAGTTTTGTTGCCAGATAGAAGGGTAAACAACCAATTATCATATTTTTACTGGCAAATGAGGTTCCCATAGTGTAGATGCTTGCCACGAGCTCTCATACTCTGATGGTGCATTGTCTTTGAGTTGTGCGCCTTTTGGCGTCATCTGGTCCAACCCATGTGAGACTAGACTGAGGAAAGCTGTCTCGGGTGTGGACCAATCAACTTCAAGGACAGTGCACATTATCAGAGTTATGTCTTTTGTTTGTATTATGACTGCAGGTATTGCGGTCTATGCAAACATGACTCCTTGTAAAAAGGTGTCAGTTTTGTTGCCAGATAGAAGGGTAAACAACCAATTATCATATTTTTACTGGCAAATGAGGTTCCCATAGTGTTGTCACCTTCTCACCAAGCTGCTTGGCAATGGTTTTGTAGCCCATTCCAGCCTTGTGTAAGTCTACAATCTTGTCCGACATCCTTGGAGAGCTCTTTGGTCTTGGCCATGGTGGAGAGTTTGGAATCTGATTGATTGCTTCTGGCTCCCAGGTGTCTTTTATACAGGTGTAGGGGTGTTACGGAGGGGCTGTTATACAATGGGATCAGATGGGAAAGAAACACAGTGGGCGTGGCTATGTCGGTGCACGGGAAGGTGCTCCCAGCGACGTCCGCATCGGGCAGCCTGGGGGGCTGACTCAGAGCGGGGGGTTAAGGTATAAAAGGGGATGAGCCGGAGGGCTCAGGGAGAGATGTTGAAGCTAACAAGTGAAGACCGAAGATCGTCATAGATAGAGCCCTGGACTCCCCTGGATCGCCGCCCTTATCAGGGCCGAACAGGATCGAGCCAGTGGCGTGGTCCCGAGAGCCAGAGCCAGTGCTCTTGTAAGAGCTGGTCTGGGACTCCGGGTACCGTGAGCCCGACTTACCAGTGTCGGGCAAGCTAGCCTCCCCTAGCCCGTTAGTGGAGGACCCAGGGGTAGGCTAGGCGTAGCTAGAGAGTGTATCCCCAGTTAGACGGGTGAGGGGGCCGATACCCCCTCCAGTGTTGTATGTCAGTGCTGTACTGTACCGACACGGAATACATACGTGTGCCTCCAACCCCGGTGTCAAGGTCTCCTGGAACACTATTACATCTGGTGTTAGAAGTGATCATCCACGAACATGGACACGCGACGGACAGCTCGTGCCAGGGTACCGGGGGCGGAGGACAACGCTGCAGAGGTTGAGCCCGAGATGGCTGAAGGCGACGCCGAGCATCCGGGGCCGGATACGTCCACACCGCAGCGTCTGGATGGAGGGGAGCCGTCAGCAGATGGACTGCGGCAGGCTCACGCGAGACTGGCGAAGCTGCTCTACGCTGCTGCCGCCACGCTCGACCAAATTACGCGGTTGGGGGCTGGTGGACCGCCACGGAGCGACAACAGCCAACGACCAGCACGGGTTCCCGCCATTTCGACGGAGCCGGAGTTTGATTCTCCCGCCATCGCCGCAGCAGCTGCAGAGGGCGTGGCCGGGCTGAGCCTCGCGTCCGACGTCGGCCGTACAGTGGCTGCAACGTCATCGACAGCGGCCAGCGCGTCACCAGTGGTGCGACCGGCGATGCCACTCGTCGTTCACGCCGAAGCCGAAGCCGAGACGAGTGACGGGAGCAACGAGGGGCGACCTTCCACTGCGGCCGCTGCATTACACCAACGTCTACCTCCCCTCAAAGAGTTTGTGGGCGAGGATGGAGACTGGGGCGGCTTCCAGCGGCGCTTCCTCGCACACCAGGAGATGGCGCAGTGGACCGATGCCGAAGCTCTCCGCGCGCTGCCGGCGCTGCTCGACAGCGATGCCCTCGCCACTCTCACCTCGGCGCCGAAAGACAAGCGCGCCACGCTGCAGATGGCACTTCAGTTGCTGGCTGCAGTCTACGGACCACCGTCTGACTGCAGACAGCTATTTTACGATCGTCAGCGGGGTGCAAAGGAGTCGCCCCTGGCGTATCGCACGAGTCTCCTGGCGCTTGCAAGAACGGCTTTCCCGCGAATGGACGACGAAGGAGTGGACGCCATGGTCACCGAAAAGACCCTCTTGCTGGCTGACGAATTGGACATCGTCGTCGTGGCGCAGGACGACGCTGAGATGTCTTCCCTCCGGGCCGCACAACACCTCCACGCCAACCTACTATCGCAGCGACGAAAGGCCAGCAAGGCGGCGACCGGCCGTGCTGTGGCTGCAGCCACCCTCCCGGCGGAGGAAATCTGCGCCATCGACCGTCAGCTGGAGTGGAGAGCGGGAGTACGGCCGGCTCGGGACGAACCGAGCCGCCTCGACCAGCAATCGTCATCGGCAGCGCTCCCGCGCTGCTACAAGTGCAGCCTCCGGGGTCATGTCGCCTCGGGATGCCGCTCTCCTCGGCAGCGCGGGGCGACGCATCGACAGGACGCCGCGCCTCCTCCCAAGCTCCAACATAACCCGGCGAGTCGCGGCACCCCTCATGTTTGGCCCACGCACACACCCATCACACACTCACACACCGCAACGAACGGGGGGCCGAGATTGCACACCGTCGCGCCAACACGTACCACTGTGGGGACTAATATCCAACCCAGTCAGTGGTCCGTGTTGGCCCATCGCGTTGTGGCCGCGTCGGCGGGGTCGTCAGCCGTTGTGGGGCACATTGATGGGGTTGAGGTGCGCATCCTGGTCGATACGGGAGCATCGGCGACCATTATTTCGGAATTGATTTACAACATTCTTCCCGTTCAAAGCTGTCCTTTGCTGCCCGTTGATGTTCCGTTCTAAGCTGCTAACGGGGGCTCACTGGGCATCATTGGACAAATTTGAGCGCAAATTTGTATCGGAGATATCAAATTATCGGGCCCAATTTTTGTCTCCTCCTCGCTGGCGGTTCCGTGCCTGCTGGGGACGGACTTCCTGGGCAAAATGCCGATACGTATCTTAATCGACCAGGGCTGTATTGAGCTCCCGTCGGGCCGACGTATGGCATTTCTACCGTCTCCCTCTGCGGGTCGGACGGCGTTCGCAACGGTACCGGCGCTCGTTGACAGAACGGTACGCGTACCGCCGGGGGCCCAGATGCTGGTGCCTCTTAAATTACGTCGGCCTTTCGCTAAAGGGATTGGGGACCAGGGGGTTCTGCTGGGGCCATCTAGGGTCTGGGTT